TATTATTAGGCACAGAGTTGGCTCTTGTTCTACAACTCCAGCCACTATATTTCTACATTGTGACTTGTTTTGCTTTCAAAAGGGGATCAACACATTTATAGTAACTCTAAAAAGTACCAATAATTTTAAATACTCCTTTCTCTTCTTCTAAGAAGGGATTTTTGAATATGCTGTCTACCTGGAATCTCTCTCCCAATACGAGGCAGGTGCCTTGGGGGATGCTCCAACCTGCCTCATTCCTGGAAGTTCTTCTAAAGGATGCTGTCACGCATGAACTTATATTTCTAAAAGTTTTCATTTCTCATGAGACAAAGGAAGGTGAGATGACTAGCCCCAGCAAACATGAGATGTTGGGTTCGCCTATGAATGTTCAATGCAACAAAGTTGACATTGTTTTCATACTACCAATAAACGGCTCTTAACAGGAAGTATTGAGCGGCGTGTATTCTTTTCTTACGCCCAATTTGGAAAACAGCCATCGTGTGTGTGTGTGTGTGTGTGTGTGTGTGTGTGTGTGTGTGTGTGTAAACTCAAGTAGGTACTATGATGGATTTAATTTCAGTCTTCTTCTCCCGGGCAGAGAGTTGCCTCTCTCCAAAGGCATTCTTAGAACCACTGGAGAGATAATGATCTGGAAGTGCCAGCATTATGTGGTTTCCCACATAGAGGCCAGTGTCTCATTATGCAAACAGTACGTGTTTATGTCTTTTCTCACACTTGTCACAGACCCCCATAAACTGCACGGCTTACGTATATCGGACAGAATCATATCACCTGAAAAGAAGGCAGTGGTGTAGGAAGACTCAATTACCTGACATTACGATTCTCTTCCTCCGTCTTGAGGTTAAGAAGTACTCATGTGCCCAAGAGACAGCAGGGGAAAACAAACGCTCTGGGGTGTATTCTGGCTCCTGGGGGCTGGGTCTACGTTTTAAAAAGAGATGATCATTATACCTTCTTTCTAAGGAAACAGACAGAAGGACACTGGTGTAAAACTTCCCCCAAACAATTCAATTGGAGGAAGTGTGTCACTGACTTTTCCCCTCTCCGTGAAGCACATTTCCTTCCTCCCTCTTTGCCTCTCTTATCTGGGAGGATTTTTTTGCCCCCAAGCGAAGCATGAACCGTTGTTTAAGTGGAAAATGGAGGCTGAATTTTACATGGCGATTCTAACCTGCCTGATTCTCGGGAGCTTAGGTGAGTGGGTCTGCCTCAGTTTCCTGAGGCATTGTCTCTCTCAATGTTAGCCAAACAGGCTGGTAGCCTTTTGAGAAGTGTCTGAAATAAGCCAGAATCGGAGCCAGGTCTCCATGGCAGTGTAGCCAGAGACGATGGGGAGGGAGGATTAAAGGAGACAGCTCTGGCCACGCTGAGATTTCTCTCCAGAAGAAAATAAATATTTACCAAGTGCCTGGGACAGCTCAGCTCCTGGAAGAATGGGCCTCAGAGTGAGGAGCCCTGAGCAAAGAGCTTTCATTATTTATATGTAACAATCTGTAGAATTCTCTGTAATTTTTTCCCAATCAAGTTATACATTTACTTTCTTTTCTGTTAAAGAAAAATACATACATACGGAATATGATTCAAGAGAGTGAGGAGATGTGCTTTATTTGGAAGTTGTCATTTGGGAAGATTGAATATTTCCATGGAAAAGCTAGGTGGTTTAGGTTAAAAACTCCTTGAAAATGGTTTCTGAGCCTGAGTGTTTTGCGGTGAATGTTTTAAAAGTGGGCATTTAGTCTTCAGGAAATGCTGATGTTTTTAAAAATATGTTAGTATTTGGTGGGAAACTATACACATTGTCACCAAATCGATGTTTATCTGCAGGGCTGCAGGGACATAGCCTCTGGTAATCAATACTTGAGTTGTTGGCTACCAGCCGCAACTTATGCTTTGAAAGATGGGAAATTCCATGGTATTTTTACCTTTTAATAAATGTACCCAATTTTTAAAGCGCTTATTCAGACTATACAACTTGTAAACAAGTATTTATTTACTTTGGGAGCACAGGGACTGAGAATGGAGCATCTCACTCTGTTATATAATGGAACAGGGCTATGATATGAAGAGGACCAAATGGTTATAGGGGACCAAGCTGTAATTGACTTTCATAATGCACACATTATTCTCTGTATTTGTCTTTCCTCTTCAATGAAAAGCCATATTCCTTGGATGACTTTGTTTCTTTTCCAAGATTCCTTTCATTTTTTCCAGTGGGGATGTATGCCCACTAAATCATACAAAAGTTTAACAGGGGAGTGCTATGTCTAATGTTTCGACACTCTTCTCTTGGTTTTGGTTCTGGTTTTTTGCTTTTTTTTTTCTTTTGGTGGGTTGATTGGTTGGTTTGTTGATCGGGTTTGTGGGGAAGAAGGGTTGTTGTTTGCCTTAGGATTCTAAGTCATGTGAGCTAAGTCTGAGACTATGTATTTGCAATGCTAGAGAGATCAAAATATAAGTAAACCTGTTATTTTTAATTCAGTTACTTATGTGGGCAGGTGGTTTTGCTACTTGATGGCCTTTCCATGGCACTTCATAAGTCTCTCATCTTCCAGAGGGGTTCCAGATAGTCCATGTCCGCAAGCAGCAGTGTCTTTCCATAAATCAGAACGTGGTTATGAGCTCATGCAATGCCAGCAGCCAGAACCAGCAGTGGCTGTCGACTGAGGATGGGAAGCTCCTTCACATTAAATCTGGATCGTGTCTGGGTATCTCCAACTCCTCAAGGGGTCCTTTCCGACCAGCAGTCTCCACTCCCTGTGCCCAGGCACCCCGATGGACCTGCCATGACCAGGAAGGCTTCCTTGAGGTGGAAAATACCTCCCTCTTTCTCAAGAAACAAAACCGTAAGGTAGTGGTCAAGAAGATTAGTAAATACCTCGATAGCTGGATGAAATTAGACACCAACAAGGAAGGGAAGCTGGTCAGTGAAAACCTCTGTGCAAAGCAAGGTGAGTGATGCCTAATGAGTCCTGAAAGTCATTCTGGTCTTCGCAAAGCCCAGGGAGAGCCATGTGCTCCAATCTACCTCCTCTGCAGGACACATACATTTACAAACGGAAGTACACTAAGTGGTACCCAACAATGAAAAACTTCATTATCCTCAGTAAAGTCCACAACTTCTCTGCCTCTGTTGATTTCCTTTCCCTTCTTTTCTTGTACTCAAACTTTAAAATGTGTGTGCACATGTACGTGTGTGTGAGATCTCGTGTGAGTGCCACTTCTTGAGTATCAAAAGGTCATAGGACAATCACGGGTCTTAGGCCATGACGTCCATCTTATTTAAAACAATGTTTCTTGTTCACCCCTGCATGCATCACACTAGACAGCCTACACATCTCTGCACATTCTCCTGTCTCCTTCTCTCATCTCACCATAGTAGAGACTTGTGCTATTGAACCTGCACCCTTCAAAGGGTCCTGGGGACCTGAACTCAGTTTTCATACCCACTGTGCCATCTTCTCAAATCCAAAACTGCTTCTTGAGTCTCCCTTTTGTGTCAGACACTATGACCAAACCCTACTAGGTATTGGAATATACATCCAGGCATATAATGACTAAAGTCATTAAATATAATACATGTAATGACTAAAGTCAACGGTGAGGAAATTAGATTCGACTGACCTAGAAACTTCTATCCTCTAATGAGGAGGGGTTTTGGGACACAGGAAGGAGTATCAAAAAACAGAGATGATACTAGGCCGTGCTTCAAAACTGTTTCATGCTGGTGCGCACATCATTCGAAGGGAACATACATTTTTGGAAACAGTCAAAGACAATGAGTAATCACAAATTTTTTTCTAATTGTTGATAATTAGTGTCCCCAGATAACAGATGTGCATAAAAAATTGTATATGCACACACAAATTCCTGGTTCAGTACATAATTGTCCTAAGTAGGAATATTTGTGGAACGTATATGCAGTTTCATCTTCTCTTGAGGTTGGCTGTATTCATGGTGACTCTGCTTTTCCTTCAGAGGTTGGCTCAGGGAGTCATGAAAGATAAAACTTGCAGAATCGCAATACACTGGGCATGAAAGAGCCCTTAAGAACACTGGGAGAATCACTTAGAAATGAATCTCCATGGTAAATACACTGAAGTTCATCAGGATATAATAAATCATCCTAAACCCAAGTTAACTTCGTGTCTAGTGTACATCCCTTATAAGTGAGCTGCTTAGTGCTTCCTGCTACCTCCCTGTGCTGACCCAGCGTTTCCCAGTGTTGATCCAGTGCCTCCCAGGGCAGATCTCATTTATCCCAGTGTATCCCAGTCCTTCCCAGTGCTGACCTAGTACTCCCTGTGCTGACCCAATGATCCCCAGTCCCTTCCAGGACTTCCCCAATTCTTCCCAGTGCCTCCCAGTACCGATCCATCTAGCTGGCTGCTTGACAAAGCCGTGAGGAAAAGGCAGAGCTTACTGAAAACACAGATTCCCAAGATCCCTTCCCACCTTCCTTTATCCACAAGAGCCTCAAGATCTGGAGTCAGGAGCTATGGACCTGTATTAACACTATCATGGGTCCACAGTCCTTCTTGGAGATGAGCATCCACTGTACCTAAAACCTTTTCCTAGTTACCCACCTCTGAGGCTGATTGGAGATTTTCTACCATGGTAATCTTTAAGCAGTGCTCTGTCTCTTAGGCAAATGCTAAGCAAGTACGTAATTAGATTTTATTTGAGGGCTCCTCTACAACAGATATTGAGGTTTATGGTCTCAATCCTATCACTTCTGACTATGCAAAGAGAGTAAAAATACAGTAGTCTATTAGGAAATTCAACTTTATTGGAACATATACAGCACATGGAGCAATCTGTACAGTTTCGTCCCTGTGGTTGATTTGTCCAGGTCTGTCCTGAGTGACACAGGACCATGCTAAATATAACAAATTGTACTCTTTTTATTTCTTATTTTATGAGACAGGGTTTCCATTTGTAGCTCTGGCTGGTCCTGGAACTCTCTCTGTAGACCAGACTGGCCTCAAACTCACAGAGATCCTCCTGCCTCTGCCTCCCAAGAGCTGGGATTAAAGGCATGTGCCACCATCCCCTAGCAACATTTTTACTCTTACCCACAGGAAGGGAGACCCATCTCTAACCTCAAATCAGGCATGGCAGGTGTTTACCTCCATGCTGCCTGCAAGGCCTTGGTGGTTTTTGTTTTTTGTCTTTTGTTTTTTTTTTTGTTGTTGTTGTTGTTGTTGTCTTTTTTTTTTTTTTGAGACAGGGTTTCTCCGTAGCTTTTGGTTCCTGTCCTGGGACTAGCTCTTGTAGACCAGGCTGGCCTCGAACTCACAGAGATCCGCCTGCCTCTGCCTCCCGAGTGCTGGGATTAAAGGCGCGCGCCACCACCGCCCTGCAAGGCCTTGGTGTTTTTGAGAGGAGGTCTTACTGTGTAAGCCCAGACTGACCTGAAACTCACAAACTGTCTGTCCCACAGAGGGTCCTGCTTCCCAAGTGCAGAGATTACAGGTGTGGAACGCCCAGCTTGAACCACCATGAAAATAATTATTTTTCAAATCACTGTTTTAAAGCTTTAAAAAAAAAGTCAAAAAAACAAAAATCAGGGCTCTAAAGCTATCGCTCTGAGTCTTCAAGATGGCAACAAGACCATGATGTTCCAAACATCAACCTGTCTCATTAAAAATTGAAAAACAAGGTTCATAGTGCAACCCATAATCCTACCCAGAACCTGTCAATATCTGGCTATTGAAAAGTGTCCATTTGAGTATATCCATATTTCTTTTTCTATTTCATATTAATTGCTCTGTTCTGCTTTTATTTATTCAGCAGGTATTTAACTCTGCTGTGTGTTGGTATGAGTTTTCATTTAATCATCTTAGTTTATTTCCACTTGGGTATGTTTTTAAGTGTACCCTTTATTTCATTGACTACCCTTTCTGATATACTAATCATCTTGGACATTTTTACTAATTTACTCTAATTCCCCTCTTTGCTCCGTTCACCCTCATGGAGCCCAGTACTGTCTGGAGTGTGCATGCGTGTGCATTGCCTCTCCCTTTCCTTCAGCTTCATTGTTGGCTCCCCCACATAATTTACTCACTTTTAATAGATGTGTTATCTTTTATTACATTTGACATTTTTCTCCAGAGTAAAAAAACTAATACATTTAAAATGTCTTGCCACAAGAATGATGCTAAGAGAAACTAATTTGTTTATTGTTCTTATCGTTATACAAAAATCTTTTGTTGTTTTTGTTTTTGTTTTGAGACAAGGTTTCTCAGTAGCTATGGAGCCAGTCCTGGAACTCACTCTATAGACCAGGTTGGTCTCAAACTCACAAAGATCCACCTGCCTCTGCCTCCTGAGTGTTGGGAATAAAGGTGTGCACCACCACCTCCCAGCTGTACAAAAATCTTATATCTCGGTTAATGATGAGTTTTGAGTCTGATTATTAGTTTCTTGCCCTTTAAAACTGTGCTCAAAGATGGTCTTGACCTGGTGAAGTCAACACATATCTTATCATCTTACAGATGACCTTGGTCTCACTGAAAGCTAGTAACAATGTCAGTGTGAAAATGTTTTGGATTGAATACAGGATGCGTCGCTGGCCTTGAATTATGTCCTAGGAAGAATTTTGCTATAATGTGGAAACAATGCAGTAGCAATGGCTCCATAAAAACACTAAAGCTAGCTTTACCATATTTTTCCATTGTGCGAGAACTTTTCCTTGCTACTGTCAAAACATCTTCCTCTTCAGTGAATTGTGAAATGTCTCCACACTTCCAAAATGATTAGAAGATATAGACACCAAAACACCAAAAGATTTGTTTTTAGAATAATTCCATGTCTATTCCAACAGAGCTCAGCAATAGAAAAATGACCTTAACTTTGAAAATCTTGTATATCTCTAGCAAGGACTGTCTTTCTTCTCAACTACTTTGTAAACTTCCAATACCCACATGAGAAATGATCACAGTTGCTGGTTTGTAATACCTTTAATCTTGGGATGTGGAAGAACTGAATGGGAGTCCATGGCAGCCTCATCTACATGAGACCCTGTCAAAGAAAGGAGAGGGGAGGGCCAGGGGAGGAACAGAGGAAGAAAGTATCAGGGCTGTAATTTGGTTCAAAATGTGTATATGGCTAAAACTGTAGACTAGAGTCACCCAGGGAACCTTAGAGTGGCAAAGCCTGGGACCCACACCAAATCCACCAAATTTCCAGTTTTTCTAAGGTGAAGCTGCAACCATCACACTTCAAAGGTGGCTTTGACACCAACTATCTTGGCAAGCCACTGCTTTCAAGTCTGCAAAACATAGAAATTGGATGTTCGGGCTAAAATTTCTCTAGATTTTAAATAGAAAAAGTCAACAGACATGAAATACAGAGATACAAAATTTGTTTCTTTGGCAAAAAGGGGGACAGGGAGAAGATGGCCTCAAATAAAAAAGGGATATGTTTGGTCTGTGTTATCTTAAAAAACATATTAGGATGATTAAAGACAATTGCAGAGGAAAACTGAGATTTTTTTTCTCCATATAAAAGCCAAAAGCTGTATGCAATGGTAACATCTGCAATGCGATTTGTAGCCCAAATCTGCAGAATGTCTGGTCATTTCTCTGGAGAGTCTAATTTCAGCCAATGATATGCATATTGGTTTTCTTTTTTTTAAGGTCTTACAATAAAAACTCACCAGCCATGTTTTAGTGAAGGAAGCAGAGCCTGGCACACAAGAATGTGATTGCATACTAGGTATTCAGAAGCTTGATTTGGGTCCTAACCCCATCATTACTTTCTTAAAAGGGCCTAGGAACTAAAACTGTATCACGTGGTCCTTAACTTAGAGAATCAGCACTGGGCAAAGCTGAAAGGAACAGAGATACTGACCTCCATCTGCTTTGCATCCCCACACTGACAGACGCTTTTGAGGGAGACATCTAAACTGTAGACTCTGAACTCAAGACTAAGAAATTAAGGATGCTTCTTAAGACGGTTGTGTCAGAGTCTCGGGGAGAATCATGGTTGAGTTTGACATGAGAAAACACCTTGAGCATAATAGCTCACCTGTGTGCAAAGTGTGTAACCATAACACACAGGCAGGGACCATGATAAATGATGTGGGAGGGGGAAAAAATGAAATATACAGAAAGAAGCATCCAGAAAGCTATCAAAGTGTGAAGCTATCAAAGTGTAGATTGAGTAGACATAGAAGGAAAGTTGCAGACAATACACATGAATGCCCACTTACATTTGAATTTCAGATAAATTTTAAGTATACTAAGATAAATATTAAGTATATGCTATAGAATATAATTTTTGAGTTGTTTCCTAGCACTAAATAAATAAGCTCAATTATACTGAAATATTATTACCTGAACTTTGAATTTAACTGGTGTCCGATACTTTTGTTTGCTGAAGTATCTGTCCACACCTACCTACACACAAAATCCTTGGCATTGCTCTTTGTGTCTCAGGGAAAGAATGCTTATTCACCATGTTTCTTTTTTAACTTTTTCAAGACTGTTTATTTAGGCTGGACGGTAGTGGCGCAAGTCTTTAATCCCAGCACTCAGGAGGCAGAGCAGGTGGATCTCTGTGAGTTCAAGACCAGGCTGGTCTACAAAAGCTAATTCCAGGACAGGCTCTAAAGTTTCAGAAAAACCCTGTCTTGAAACCCCCCCCCCAAAAAAAAACTGCTTATATCTCATTACCATAAATGGACCTTTTCTGTTATGAACCATTTTTGTCCCATAACCTCTCTTATTTACATACATTGCCATATGAAGTGTGCTAGTCAGGAAAAATTAGGATGGGAAGGAATGAGACTCAAAAGAGGAATAAGTAAAGTTGACTAGAAAGTGCGACTAACTCCTTCTTTAAGAGGGGCTACTTGGCACATAGTAATTGCCTACTAAAGAGTTGTTTTATTCAAAGAACAAGGAGAGAAGTGATAAGAAATTAAAGTTGCTCTGTGTCTTAAAGCCCCCACTCTTTCGAGTTAGTTACCTGATTTTGACAGGATTTCCTGGGTTTATCTACCTGCCAACATAGCATCGATAAGCCAGCGAAGCATCCAGACACACCTCTCAGCCAGTCACTTGCAGACTTTTCCAATGTGCGGCTTTACGCTAGGGTATGGCTACCCAGTGACTCAAAGGCCTGGGAGCTTCTCAAAAATGTAAGAAGAGCCGGGTGGTGGTAGCACACACCTTTAATCTCAGCACTTGAGAGGCAGAGGCAGGCGGTTATCTGTGAGTTCGAGACCAGCCTGGTCTAGTTCCAGGACAGGCCCCAAAATTACAGAGAAATACTGTCATAAAAACAAACAAACAAAAAAATGTAAGATGAGCACAATTCTTTTGCTTGCTTTTAAATATTGAAAATTTATCCCAGCTGCTCATATATCCTAAATGACTAGCTGTTCTTTTAAAAGATATCTAATTTAGAAAATACAACAGTCTTGCTCACACCTTTAATTCCAGCACTCAGGAGGCAGAGGCAGGTTTGAGGCTACACAGCCTTGGCTACACAGAAAAACCCCGTCTCAAAAAAAAGAAAAGAGTAAGGAAGAAAAAAAGAAAATACAACAGTCTCATGATTGAAGCCTCACAGGATTAAAAACACTCCCCATCCGCAGACAATATGTCATGGTTAGACGGGAGCGAGACGTTCTGATGTGCTCTTTGACAGTCAGCTGTAAACAGAAAAGTACTACATATCTCAAAAATCTAGGAGAAGATTCTAAATAATTACACCATGAAATTTAAAAAGATGTTTGAGGAGATAGATGTGTATGATCTGATTTAAACATTATATACTCTATATACTATATGCAGAAATGTAAGCATCACTAACACTCCATTAATATATAATTTTATGTTTTTATATATTAGTTAAAATGAATTAACACCACTAATGTTCTTATCATAAATGTTTGCATTATGGTGAAAGAAATAAATATCATTAACCCCTCCCCCAAGAAGGAGCCATCACCCTTCATGATGTAGTTAGGCAAGTCAGTAACAGTGATTCTCAAAGCTGTTATATCAGCTCCTTTGGGAAGCTGGTAAGAGCTATAACTATTCCCTAGCACTGCTTAAGATGAATTTCCTATGGCCGAAAGTGTGGGTAGACCTTGGAAACTCACCGACTACTCCTGAGACCAATCTAGTCATCTAGACATCCATAGCATGAATTGAACTCTGTCTTCTATGCAGAACTGGCCTTTCTGTATACAGCAGATTTTCATAATTCTGCCTCCCCCATGTAAAACTGGCAGATAAATTTTAAGTATATTAAGATAAATATTAAGTATATGCTATAGAATATAAAACTGGCAGATGGATCAAGGATGAGTATACTGGACAGGGCAAATGGACATTTTCCTATACAGAGGAGAGCTTGGCTTTTCTATACAGCTAAATTTATTCACATGTTCCTTATTGAAGGGACCTTCTTTTACTATGTAAAAGTTGTTTTTAGATAGGACTGTTTTTAGATAGGAATATGGCTTAGTTAGTAAATCCCTTGCCTAGCCTAGCCTACACAAAGCCCTGGGTTCAACCCCTAGCCCTGTATGTACCAGGCATGGTGGTCCACACAGGTAACATCAACACTTAGGAAGTGGAAGCAAGATGATTAAGAGTTCAATGTCCTCAGGCTATATAGCAAGCTCAACATCATCCTGAGCCACGTGATGGCCTATCTCAAAGCAAAATCGTTAAAATTCATAAAATGTGAGAATGATGTTTGCCCCTGTCCTTTCTTCCCCTCAGCTGGCCTGGGGACAGAAGTCTCGGTGCGGATTGCTAGGAACTCCGTGGCCCCGCAGATCCTCACAACTTTCCACACAGTTCCATACAGCCCGGAACACACTAGGAACACCACAGAGACATTCCTCGGGAGTACTGCAGAGACCTACAGGCCAAGCAGCAGCAAGAGAGCTCTCCCCAGCCTGCACACGACGGGGACTACAGTGACAGCCTGGAGTCCATCAACTACTCCGCCTTCCTTCGGCATTACCACAGAGGTAAAAGGAGGTGGGTGGTATGGTTGCGAGTGGTCCCAGAAACCCTTACTTGAAAAGACTCTCTGTGTCCAAAATGCCACAGCGCACTAAGAAATCGGTCATTTGTGTCTAAACTGCAAATTGTATGCAAACGGATTTGGCAGAATGAGGGAAACTTTGAAATCTCTGCATCTTGATGAGATGGAGCCGGTTGGGCTTGGTCGTGCTGTCCCGGTACTCCGTACTCTGGTACATTAGCGTTTTGTGGACCAAAGTCGGGGTTCGTGGTCTTAAACATAGCCAGAAACAAGTAAAAAAATGCTGAGACCAGTATTTGGCGGTTCCAAACCATTTGTGCCCCAAGGGGCAAGAATGACAAAACAGTGACAGATCCAGAGTCACTCGAATTGCTTGGGAAGATAATAATAAACAGAAGTCATGGCACCTCCGCATCACCATCCCCTGTGCGTCACCTACCTGTGGTCTTGGTAGTCGCCACTGTGACAGAAGGGTCAAGAGAATGAACAGCAGTACTGGCAGCTCATAGGTGTTACCCAAACACTCTCTCCGGTTTGAGCGTTCATTTCTTTGGCTTTGCTTTCCTCTCGGAGATTCGAACCATAATGTAGGCAATGATGGTATAATTAGAAGAGATGACAAGAGTTCAAGTTTGCAGAACACAGGTATATCTTGATGGCACAGTGCTAGAGCACATGCCAGGGTAAAGCCCTAAATTAATCCAGAGCACAGACAAACAAAGAAAAAGTCTACGCTTCACTCGAGAGTTTAGCTCTTTGCCAATAGGCAACCCAAATAATTTAAAGACTGAAGACATCCAATATCATCCAAATGACATCCACCCAATTGGATCTCTCGTTGCTTTTGCATTGTATTGAGCCTAATATTGCATATGGTTTTCCACTACTGAGCACATACATCATTATGGGTCACAGAACAAATACAGTGAGAACGTTGAACAGCTCCTGGGACTTTATTTCTGGTTCCACCTTTCTGTTACCATAAATCTCCCCTCTGATCCAGTTCTGTCCTTGCCTATGAAAAGGAGTTAGGAAGGCCCGGTTGCTTTTTCGGAAACTCTTTACATCCCTTTCAAGCAATACGCCCAATCTCTGTCCATTAATAGAAATATCTATCCTGAGAACACGCACTCTGAATCTGCCTTTGAAGGTCAGCTGTGCCTCTCCTGTCCCTCCATTCGGTCAGGGCTTATGACAGAAAAAGAAGGGCACCGTTAAAGCCCCTTACTCCTACCTTGACTTCTACCCACCTCTTGGCTCATTGTGGTCTCAGACTGTTAGCTTTGCAAAGAGGACATGAGATGGGAGAGTCGTGACTGTCAGGAGCCCCCCACGACTGAGGCACTCCCTAGTTCTTCAGCTCCTTTGCCATTTCATCCACTAAAGTGAATGAGATATTTGCACTTTTGAAGATGAATTCTCACATCCTTATTTTGTCTGTGTATGCCTCCACAAAAACTCACATTCTACCATAAACTTAGTAGAGCATTTTATCCACATTGGAATTTATTATTTATAACAGGACAGAAAAAGTAAGTATATCATACAAAACACATGGAATAAAGACTATCACAGACACCTAGCTACCTGAATGCCAGAAGGTGGTCTTTTAGCATTAACAGGATAGTCTATCATCCTTCCCGAAGCATAGAACCCTTCCCATGTCTGACATTATGAAGCCTAGAAATAAGTTCAAGTATATTCAGAACAATCAGCAACAGAGCTGTTGTAGACACACAACTGGTTGGGCCAATCTAACCCTGCACGACAAAGCTTACAGGATCATCCCCAAGCAGTATTTGTAGCCTTGGATCATAACAGCACAATGGTGAGGGTTTTGTTGTTGTTGTTCTTTTGTTTTCTCAGGATTTTGGAAGGGTATTTTTTTTGTTGCTGTTGTTGTTGTTGTTGTTGTTTGGTTGGTTGTTTCATTGGTTTATTGGTTGGTTGGTTCGTTGGTGGGTTCATTGGTGGTATCATTTCTAGAAAGAAACCAACTACAGTGTTTATATGTGCTCCCAGATGGGGCACCCAACATTACTGATTTCTCATCTCTGGCTTTCTTGAAGTTCCGACAAAATATTCACTCTGTTCTGGGAAGTGAGAGTAAAAAAATAAATAAATAAACTATGCTGTCTCCAAAGGCAGTTTCTCCCAGTGCAGAATTCTGAACTCTAATCTTCCCGTCCTTCCCACCAAACAACTTAAAAGAGCGCTACTCCACAGTTCACTGTTAACCGCTGGAGTCTGAGATTTTGAAAAATGACACATGTCACTGACAGTTCAAACTTTGTGTCCTTCTGAGAGTAACTGTGACAAACAGCATCAGGAGAACGTGAGTAAAGTAGTTGAGCTCAATTGTCGGAAATTGTATCTACAGCTCTCTTAGTCATTTTCTTTCTCACACAGCATCTGGTTTGTGAAGATGTTTTACTGAGCTGGGTTGGGGGCGTTGTTTTTGAGTGAAGACAAGGTTTCGTGACTGTATGTGTTGGACGAATGCACCTGAACAAAATGCTTAAAGTTTGGAGGGGAGGAAGGAAAGGTTTGGGCTAGTCTGGAACAAAATAGAATGGAGATGAACGTAATGACACAGGATGAAATGGGAGGGAGTGGACTGGGGTGGACTCCGATGGACTGGTCTGGACTGGACTGCAGTGGGGCTGCTCGGATAGGTGGTTCCTCTCCTGCTTCATCCGGGCTCACTGTTGCAGCTGCATTCAGCACGGGAGGTCAGCAGGGCTCTAAGATCAACACTCAGCTCATTTGCATGACTAGCCCTCGGCATTGGCTATGAGCCGGCCATCTAGGCTCACCTCATGACCCCTCATCCTCTAGTAAACAATACCAGCTTCCCTTTCATGATGGGAAGTTAGTCCAGCTTCATAAAAGGCCAAAGGTAAAGGCTGCAGGATTCTAGAAGTAGAGACTCTGGAATCACACACTGCTCCTTCGGCAACATTTGAAGGTTAAAACAAGCTAAAAACCCAACTGAGATTCAAGGGATAGGGCAATAGACTCTGCTCCTTTATGAGAACATCACCAAAATCATGTTGCATATATATATATATATATATATATATATATATATATATATATATATCTCGCACACACATATAGTTGGGGTGAATCCATAACCATTAAACAGAACACCGTATATTATTGTCATCACCACTGCCCCATTGCCATCAGCACCATCCCTATTTTGCAGATGTCTGAATAAAATATACAGAGGTTAAAGCCCAAAGACCTTCTCAAATGATTAAGGAGAAAGATAGCAAGAGTGTACACCCACGTACACACACCCCCTCAGTCACCATATTCTCTAATATATAGTACTTGTTCATCAAGGCAAATGCCAAGGAAGACATATTTGCACGGCAGTTATCCCTCTTCGCTAAGCACACACAACAATCCTAAACTCACTCTTTGAAGATGCAGGGTGTTTCTTTTCTTTAACTTTCTTCTTTTGTCCCACATCCGCCCTGCCTATGTGATGCACTTGACTGTGGAAGGTTGTATCCTTGGACCAGGACTTGATCTCAGAGCTCTGTGGCTATTCCCCCGGCCCCTCCTCTCCCAACCTCCAAATCAAGACCTTAAGGGAATTAACAGGTCAGAGGCAGAAATCAAGAATTAGCGCTTTGGTGTCAAAGAAATCGAGCCTAGGTCCTAGAGGTTTCTACTCAAGTTGTGCTTCCTTCTTTGAACCGGAGATCACGCTGGGCATTCATCTGCCTCAAAAGGTTGAGAATAAAGATCTGATTACAGGAATCACCTTGGGAGGTACTCTAGCCAAGTGTAAGTGAGGATTTACTAATGTTGGCTTCTTTTAGTCTTTATCATCCCTACCCCGGCTGACTCCAGGCTCGAGGAACCCACTTGAGCTAGGGGATTCTGCAAACCTGCTCTAGAAGAGATAAAGTTGCTGACTGTGCAGAAAAGCAAGGTTCCTGGCTGGTTGTGATACCACTATCTACACATCTTGCCTAGAGGCTCGCTGCCTGCTTCCTCTCCCACCCCACCCTTGTGCTGGCCCTGGGAGGAGCAGCATTTCCTCAGTTTGTGAATAGCCATTGTGGTTCTGGGCTGAGCTTTTGCAGTTCTGCGTTTCCTTCCATTTGGCCTTCAAAGAGATCACAGCCCAGTGTGAGTCTCCTAATAGGAGAGGAGGCTAGTGCAGAAAGTACCTCAAAACCAAGCCCAGACAACCCCCTTGCCTGGGCCACTTAGAGTGTGTAGGGAGATACACGCTGTCACCATTGTTATATAGGCAGACTAAAGACGAACGGCACCCCCACTGCCAAGAACAGCCGTGCTCAGCCTTCCCACTGCTGCAGCCCTTTAATGCAGTTCCTCATGGTATGGTGACCCCAACCATAAAATTACTTCGTTGCTACTTTATAACTGTAATTTTGTTACGATTTTGAATCGTAATATTAATATCTGTGTTTTCCGGTGGTTTTAGGTGACCCCCGTGAAAGGGTCATTTAACTCCCAAAGGGTCATGACCCACAGGTTGAGAACCTCTGTCCTAGCGGAAACGGCACAGACCACCCTCAAAGTACCCACATGGTGCTTGGACTGTCCATTGCGAGTAGGATCGAGTAGCACAGACCATGAAACGGATACAATTATTTTTAATTCTTATTTTTATTATTTTTAATTATGTAGATGGAGGTGGGATATGTGGGTACAGCTGCCCTCAAATGCCTCTGGTCTGCAGCTGGAGTGGTGGGCAGCTGTGAGCCGCTCTACACGAGAACCAAACTCCAGTCCTCTGGAAGACCAGAGGTGTTCTGAACAGCTGGGCCATCTTTCCAGTTCCCACGTATCATCATTGTTGGAATAATTTGGGGCAAGGGAGGAACCTTGGAGAGCCAAGGGGCCACGCAGCCCAGCGGGTGAGAGGCAGACAGGCCATGCAGACAGAGCTTAAGTGGAGATTTTTATTGAGATAAAGGGAGTGTGGGAAGGGAAGGA